CTTCTTCCTTGATTCCTGATAATCCCCCTAGGCGTCTGAAAAGAAGATGGCCACGTGATCTTCTCACCTAGAATTAAATAGAGAGTACTACCACAGGGCAATATCTCTTCAAGTCTGTTCATGTCATGATTTCTAATGTGTGCATTTTTACTAGTTGCATTGTTTATGGAGTTGTAAATTTCATTAAATAAATAAATTTAAAAAAAATTATTATTATTTTCTTTCTTTATTTTTATTTGTAGTTTTTATTTTATAATTTTCCTACTGGCAAATAGCAAAGAGTGTTACTAAAGTTTATAATTTTAAGATCACCTTTATTGTAAAATGTTGTACCAAAACATGACAGATTTTTATGTACACTTTGTAAATTGCAAGATTCATTTCAATAAACTTATTATTATTATTAAGCATAGTATGTATTGATAACTTCGGCGATCCAAAAGTAGAACCACCACTGGCCAATTAATTTTTAGAATACTTTTGAAGTTTTAAAAAATATTGCAGGTAAAATAATGGTTTTGCCTTTGGAAATTGCTCATACTGGCCTTAATAGAGATCATTAAAAGTCATCTCATTTTTCTTTTAGTTGTTTTTGATAAATTTAATCAGCATGAATTAAATATACAGTTTATTAATCAAACATAACCTCTAAGCTGTAAATCACACATCTAACTAACATGCAGTGATGGTTGGTTGTAATTTGCAAATATGTTTCTGCCTTATGAAGTTCTAATAAATTTAATATAATGGAAAAAATAAGAATTAGAAACCAAGCGCAGAAGTAAGCTAAATCAATAGATGGGACTCTTTTTGGTATAAATAAGGCATACGTGAATGCCAATATTATTCAGTCACCTGCAGAAACTATAACTATGACAGTAAACATATCGACGGCACCGTGAAAAATAAAGTAACGAATGTGCAACGTTAACGAGGCTCATATTCGTTACTTTAACATGGTGCCGACGATATTTGTCTACAAGACCACCCTTTATATACATACAAAGAAACGCATGATGAATCTTAAGTACCCATTCCTGAGTTTAAGTTTAGAAAAGAGGAAGCATATAGATGGTATAGAGTATATAGGCCGCATGTGGCCTCTATGACGTAGTTGCGGTCTCCAAACTTTTTTGCGCGATATTTATTAATCAAGTGCTAGAATTAATTAATATTTAATTATTTTAAGAAAGACAATTTGGAAATAAATAAAATTAAGTTGAATGCATGTATGTGGGTGTATATATTTAATGATAAATAAAAATTGCAACATTAAAATATAAAGAATTATTGAGTCCTCCATTAGCACTGCCTAACCTTATTGCAGCCTCTAATGATAAATAGGTTTTATACCCATGAAATAGAGTATCATTATAGGTGCTGTGAGTACCTATAATGAGTGGAGCTTTATGGTGCCATCAAAGCAAATCCCCACCAAACCATTATAGAGGAAGTGTGATGACCTCTTTTCAGTCTTCCAATGACTTCCTGGGATTCTTTAGAGGTGTGTGCGTACACACGATCATTTTGGCGATTAAATTTGTCTTGAATTGTAAAAATTTTCCCATCGCTAAACAAAATCTTTGCATCTATCTACTCTATTTTTTTTTAGGGAAGTTGTTAACCTTTGTCCAGTCATTCTTCGAAATGCACCCATCCTAAGGTCACTTTTTATTATGCGAGACATTGATCTGACACACTTTATAAAAAAAGATGATCCAACTTAAGCACCCCACTCCATGTTAACTAAACGAAAGAAAAATACAAATTAATTGGGCTTATTTTCCTGAAATGTAAAGAGAATAATCTGATAGAGGTAAGGATTATCTAAATAATACCCAAGGATGTAAACAAAGTTCAACTTTTGTAACAGTATTTATGGCAGAACTAGGTATTTCTTATGTAGGTAAGTGAAAATAAAAATTATGTAACTTATTTGAAAAATTAGAACAATGTTCATCAGAGCAATCAGATTGAGTATGCTGAACTAAGTGAATTACACGCCATTCTTTGTCGTTCCAGTCTTGCAAGAAAGATAAATTCAAACCTTATCAATATGAAATCCTACGCAGCGGATCCTTTCTACAGCCAAAGCAATTTCTTATCAAAAGACACGGAATGAAGAGAAAGAACGAAGGATCTTTATCCTACCGGAAATAAGAGGCAGCTCAGACGAAACTGTTGACACACAAAAGCAAAAGATCACGCCGCAGCTGCAGTGAATCAGAACACCCAGAGACCGCTACGAGGTGGCTTGTGACCGACCACCCACGTCCTGCGACCGCACATCAGTTCTCGGGAAGCCACGTATGAAGATCGTCTATAAATACAAATGGCACATTTCTCATATGAAAGGGCACGTTAATAATACCTATTTAAGAATGGAAGGAGGCAAAAGAATTTTAAGTAGAGGAAACCCCTCCCCATACACATACATATAAAAATGTAAAAAATAATAATATAAATATATAAACCATTAAACTAAACGGATAGGGATACAATGGGGTCGAGGATAGTGGGTCAATTTCGATAACAAGAGGAGAAAGGCAACCTGTCCTCCATGGATGTAATAGCCACTATCTAACTACACCAGCATACCCCCTCCCCCTTCCATTCATCTTCAAAATGGCCTTTTCCCCAATTTATACTATCATAGATTTATAATTATTCTTACTAACAATTTGTAACCATAATAAGGAAGAAATAGTTCTGGGAATAAGAAGTGAGCTGTCTTGGTTAAGGTTCGTCTTGCTTTGTATATGTAAAATAAAAGATGATACGGCCACTAAAAACCTTTTTATACTGGTTTTTCTTTTACTATACGCACGGGTGGATCTACGGGGGGAGGGGGACTTTGGGGATGAAGCTCCTCACCCAAAATGGTAAAAAATAACCATGAAGAGAAGAATAGTTGGGGTAATCAGTCAAATAAGAAGGCAAAAATAAATGATAATATTTATTTAGACATTTGCCGACGTTTAGGCCTGAAATTTAGGCCTTCATCAGGGCTGTCTCAACCAGTGTTGAACGGAGAAGCAAAAACACCTTTCATTTTTTTTGCTTCTCCGTTCAACACTGGTTGGGACAGCCCTGATGAAGGCGTTAACTTCTGGTCGAAATGTCGGCAAATGTCAAAATAAATATTATCATTTATTTTTGCCTTCTTATTTGACTGATCACCCCAACTATTTTTCTCTTCACTATTCACGACAGTCAACCATTTCACCCACAATTGTAAAATATAACCATGTTTTATGAAAAACATTATCTCTAAAAGTATTATTTTTCGTGTAATTACATTTAAAAGGACATTTGGAATTACTTAAACACCATTTCACATAGGTAGTTAGTCTCTTTCTTTTTTTTTCCAAAGTAATTATCGTTATATTTATGAAAAAAAAGTTTTCGGGCTGAAGCCTCCCAAAATTAAATCTTGGATCCGATAGTATATATACATATTTATTTTTTTATATGCATATTTATTATTTTATATGCATAGTAACATTTAGGATGGATATCTTCAGCACTAATGTTTATTTTTCTAGTGTGTGACAGACTGTATTATTATTGAATAAAAGATTTTTAAAATCTGATATTTGAATTTACTTCCATATTTTCAACGTTTCGGAGCAGAAGCCTCTCTCTCCGCCCAAAATAAAAAATAATGTTTTTCCATTAGCCCATATACAAATATAAACAATTCTGTGAGTGTTCAAACACACGCACGCACGCACACACACGAATTAAAAAACCAAGCCTCTCCCAATAAAAAGTTAAATCCTGCATCCTCTACTGCTGCTAACATAAGTTGCCTCAATAATTGGACAAAGCTGGTTATTGAACTTTGTTTTTTGCTAATAATATCTTTATATCATTAATATTTGTTTCCTAAACCTTTTTATATTTTCAAATTAAATTAACAAGTTTTAGGTTAGTTATTTTCAATAATAAACCATTGTAATCTACTAAAAGATTAAAAAAGCCCCTCATAATTTGAGGTTTTACAGTTCAGGATAAGACTCGAATAAAAAAAAGGCCGTCCGTAGTTCGCGGCTTTTCTCCGAGATTACTGGACCAATTTTATTGAGATTTGGAATCAAAATCCAACGATGATCTCCTCCTACCTCGATACTACCATCCCACCTTTCCTTTCAAGTTGGGGACCGTAAAACCTGTGTTGGTATAGGCTGTAGTGCCTATACTAATGCATTAATTTTAATGAAACTTGGCCAAAGTATTTTCCTTAAAGGACTTTAATTTATATGACATACTTGACCGACTAGTAGCTGGAAAAAAAGTTTCTAGGGGTGGTAAAATTAGATTTCCGAATAACGTAAATCGAAAGAAAAATAATGAACGTTGAAAGCGGACATTATGGAGCAGAGTTGTGTTCTCAATATTTTCTATGCGTTCTACTGCATGAAAGTTGTAAATCAACATTCATTTATTTACAACTACATACAATTATTTATTTTTATTTTAGTTTTACCATTTTAAGCCATTTGCACTTGCGCTGCAACGCACCAAGCAAATTTGATGAATTAGGTGTTGACTATGAGTTTGCTTGATTAACATAATTTAGTTATTGTTGTTGGAGTAGGTCCCATGGCCATTTTCTTTTTAGTCTGCGTCGATCAGGTAGCAGGGAGGAAGAAAGAGACAGAACAAGTGGATTTGGATGATTGAGAGTAGAAGAATGAAATGAAGTGTAATTACTTACTTAAATTTAAATTATATTTATTATAACCGCGCGGTTTGTTTAGGTTTTTGGTGTATTATAAATAAATACATGCCTTCACTCATTTCTACAATGGTTTCTCTATTTTTCTACTATATTGTAAGTTATTACAACCCCCCACTTCCTTTCAGCGGCTGTCCAGAATGGCAATCCACCACAGTGGGGTGGTCCTTCTTCATCCAATGGTCAATAACAAACCTCGCTTCGGAACCAAGAGACGCGCTTCAACGGATGAACAAAACCGTTTCCCATATCAATATCCATGTATTCGCGAGCATTGACGTCAACTGAATACTCTTCGCGGCCACACAGATCGTCGCCGCGGCTAAATATAGACCCCCTCCTTGCCAGTCCATTTGATCTCGTCTCATTATATGCAAATCACCGCAGTCGATCTTGCATTCATCCAACATCGTTACCTTATGCGTCCAATTTAGATTGGCTATATTTCGTCGAAACATCATCCCATGAAGAGGAAGATATCGCAATAATCAATTGGCCATGTTGAGGGTTTGGTTCATGCTGGTCAGTATGTACTTCGATTACTTTGAATGGAAAAGAGCGTTTGAAATTAATGAATGCAGACCAGCAGTCGCGTGCTGATTCAAACACTTGTATATTCGTTTTGTTTTGATTAAGAGGTTAGTAACTTGTTATTGTAGCGCTTTTTAATTTAGGATGTCAACATTAAAATATCAACAACAAAAAATAAAGTACAGACAAAAATATTTTTTTTTGGCTGCCAGTTTAATCTACTTAACTTCATAGGTGAACGAAATAAAATGTTTCTAATCAGCTATATAGATGTCATAATTTGGGCATTTTCAATTCACATGCGTAAAACTGTAAATTTCAATCCCTAGCAATAGCGGCAAATGCCTATTTTGAACGACAGTTCTGAACTACGGTTAACAAGGTTATAAGCTAAAAAAAGAACAGTTAAATGATAGAAGAATGCAAACTATCTAAGCAGCTAAGATATGATTAAATTAAGAAAGTAACAGGCAAAAGCAGAAATAGTTACATCAAACTTTCAAATATATGTTCCGCTAATTTAAACAACATTCAAACATGTTAAAAAATCTGATGCGCGCAACACACAACTTTCACTTACCGCTCAACTTTGAATAGAAATTATTTTCTGACCAGGTTGGGCTATTAAACAATTTTGAATTGCATTTTGAACTGAGCCAAAGCTAAAAAAATTACAGCTAACGAATAATAAATACCATTAAAATAATAAAAGTCCAATTTAGTATATCACCGTTTGATATAGATTATACATTCTGTTGATTATGGATTGGACGACTGTTAGTTATTAAACTGTTATTTTCCATTGCAAAGTTTACTAAAACGGAATCAACAGATTTGCATTGTCTGTCATAGACAGATCAAAAGTTGTCACAATAATTGTAAGTGGATACTGTTGGAATATCCCAAAAGGAAATTTAGTTTGATTAAATTCACTAATTTAATTTGCTAAAAAGTTACATGATGATTTTTCGGAATAAACGGAAGATAGATATTAAAGGTACTTTAGAGAAAGACGCATATTAACTTTGTGCATTTAAGCCCAGTAAAGTGACACAGTGTCATTGAAGACTTAAATGATATGAAAGACCACTTAATCATACAACGATACACCGAATTTAATCAAAATCGTTAGAGCCGCTTTTGAGAAAATTGTAAAAATGTGTTTCAGCCTTGATATAAAGTGGCACTTCCGGATAGCCGATTCTAAGAAAAAAGTTGCTAGGACATCTAAGGCATATACCTATCTTAAATAGGTAATATCAGTTTCGCACGACTTTTCGTTTTCGAGCTCAAGTGTTCACATACACACAGACACAGTATTTGGACTCAGGTTACCTCTAAACGTGTATTTCCGTTGAAAACTCAATTTCAAAATTTTTTATGATCGCACTACTTACCCTTACTATATATTACATACATACCTAAGTGAAAGTAAAAATAGGGGATTGTTAATAAAAGACATCCTAGAGTAAAAAATATGGTTTAGAGCATTCAGTAACATTAGTGTATACCTACAATCTTTACTCCACATAATTCATAATATCTGTTGTTATTCATCCGGGTTTAATGTAATATAAATATTCCAAGATAGGAAAAATAGATCCATGGCATTGACCATTAGTTGAAATAAAAATGTTAATTTAAAAAAAAAAAAATGAAAGAAACTCTCTTCTCCCTGTCCCGAGTTCGAGCCGGGCAGTGGACTCTTATTATTTACAATGAGATCAAGACATCGTTCTGGTATGAACCGTCTATATGAAGTGAGTAGTCTAAAATAATTAAGAGGGAATCCTGGAGATTGAGCGTGATATTGGTCAAATAACCTCCCTGCACGAACCTTGACATATAAACAATACTTCCATACAAAATAATGAACCTATGAACCTTCATTGGATATATTCTAACAGGTTTTTAGTTAAAGAAAATAATGAATAATTTGAACGATAAATAACAACAGAGACAGCGGCTGTTAAGTATATGATGATTCATGAAAACTGTTGCTTCAATTAGTTCATTTACTGCTATTTCATAGGCTCATGGCCTTGTGTTGGTATCTTACAAAAATATCCTTATGAATTTATTTCGTTTATCGATAATATCTATGTGGGTCAGCTAAAATACGGTATACAGAATATCTTCATTGACGTACGTAAGATATGTTTACGTTTACGCCTAGACAGGAACGTTCTAAGAATAAAAATTATATATTGAAAATATTTCATATTAAATAACTTAATTATTTCAAATTAATATTTCATATTACATATTCAGCAATCTTCCAGTTCACGCACCATAACAAAATAAACTTAATGTGAATTCACAAATTCCTTATACAGTTACTCTTTGGATTATATCTCAGAATTTCATGTTATGACACAGCAAACTTGCAAAATTCAAAACTCTAAACGTTTATCTGCAATATAATCCCATCGTAATTACTAAAATCTGGTGCGCGCAACACACAACTATCACTTACCGATCTACTTTGAATAGAAATTATTTTCTGGCAATGCTGGGCTATTATAAAATGTTTTGAAATGCATTTTAAACGGAGCTAAAGCTTAAAGCTTACAGATAACAAGCCATTAAGACCATTATAATTACAAAATGTCTATTTAATATATCGACGTCAGGCAATAAAAATCTAGTCACTCCATCTGCTTTTATAAACCACAGAATGACTAACTCCAATTTCAATATTTTTGAGTGATGTCATTTTAGTGATATTTTTAGTTGAAAAAGTTATCTATGCAGACAATGAGTAAGTTGATTCCGAAGGTGGTGATTGCAGTGTTAAAATATAGAACTGAGAATAAACGTATAAATTTAGGTAGTTATTTCTTATGAAAGATGTTCTTAGAAAAAATACTTTATTAAATATCTGTAGAAAAAAGGTTTTTTTAGTCTCAACAATTAAAAAAGTATATTTTAAATTTATCCAAATTTTCGCCTCTTCAGGGAAAAAAACTAGAGACCATGTATTTCCTCCTAATTGTCCGATTTTAACGATTTTTTTTTAGGAAATTCCATAATTTTAAAAAACCATCGACAAAAAAGTGTATGCTTTTTGAGTTATTCGGAATTTAATTTTACCATCCCTCGTAACTTTTTTCCAGCTTCTTTTCGTTGAAGTATGTTATAGATCAATTTAAAGGGTGTCGAGAAAATGACTTTAGCGAAGTTTCATTGAAATCGATACATTCGTTTAGGCGCTACAGTCTATAGCAACGCAGGTTTTTCTGCATTTTTATTTTTTTTTCTCCTTTATTAACTTATCAAATTCTTTCAAAAGTTATATTCAGAATTTTTTTATAACTCTGAATAATGAGAGATAATTGATTATTTAAAATAAACCATATTAAAGGTACTTTAGAGGAAGATGCATATGAACATTGGGCATTTAAGCCCTGTAAAGTGACATCAATAGGGATAAGACCTAATTGATATTAAAGACAACTTAATTAAACCGTGATACACCGAGTTTAATCAAAATCGTTAGAGCCGTTTTTGAGAAAATTGTAAAAATGTGTTTCAGCGTTGATATAAAGTGGAACTTCCGGTTAACCGATTTTAACGAAAAAGTTTTGTCACATCCGGCCCATATACAAACCTCAAACACACACACACACACACACACACACACTCACACACAGACCATTTTGCGACACTTGGTTATTTGGACTCAGGGGGCCTCAAAACATGTATTTCCGTTGAAAACTAATATTTTCACGATCGCATACCTCACCCTTATTATATATTACATATATACGTAAGTGAAAGTAAAAATATGAGATTTATTGAAAAACAATATGCGCGCTATGAAATATGAAATGTGTGATGGGTCAACACCCAAAATTTTAAAATGTATTTAAAATAATTTACTAACAAAGGCTGTAAGGTTAAGATGACAGTTTATTCAGATTCCGAAGCCGTGATGGCCAAAGGAACTGAGGCGTCAGAACCTTATCAACCTCGAGCCTAGTTCAGCAGCGCTGTTCAGTACGGCTTGTGCTGAATGAAATTTATTATATGGTGGACCATGAGTCTCGACCTCACAACTCTGGTTGGAATAGGTTTGTTATATTTGTAGAACAACACAGATTTAGCCAGAAATGTCCAGGTTGGGAATAAAATGAAAAAAAATAATTAAAAAAAGCTAATTTATTATTTCCAATATTACAATAGTTTTTCTGTCAATTTCATTTCTAAGTCTTCAAAAACAAATACTATACAAAAAACCCAATAAACAAAATCAATTTGCCTTAGCTTATAGTTAATTTATCTTTTTAATTTCCTACCTATACTAGGTAAGGAAAGTATTGCAATTGGGTCAAATTTCCGACATGCGGTTTTCGACGGATCTATACGTTTAACAGCCCCCTGAGTCCGAAAAACACATTTTTAGCCATTGGTCTGTCTGTCTGTGCCAAGATTTTCTCGGGAACTACTGAACCGATTTCGTTGCTTCTTTTTTTATTTTGAAGGGTTTTGACTACCGATGCCTGTGACAGAAATTCGGTGCTCCATGCGCAATAGCTTGCGTGCAATAAATGAAAAATACGTTTTTCTATAGACTATAGCGCAAAAACTGCTATAACGATTTTGATTAAACTATCTAATATTGTTCTAATTATTTTATTTTCAATTTTTGTTTATTGACTAAATTCTCGAAAAAATTCAGAAAAACAATTTATAAAGAAAAGAAAAATTTTATGGGGCCTAACTCCCTAAGTATATATTATACGGTAAAATTCATAATATAACTTTTGAAAGGTAATTAAATTGCCAACAAAACAAAAAGAAAATCATCGGAATCGAACCAGTATTAGCGATGATACAGCTTATTCTATTTTTTTATTACTTTTTAGCCTATCGTTTGAAAGGTAATGAAATTCCCTACAAAGCCATATAAAAATCGTTCATTGAACAACTATTAACGAAGTTACAGCTATTCAATTTCCAATGAAAGATTAC